ATATATGCTCGCCTTCTTGAGCTCCCTACTCGAAGTTTCTTACAATGCCTTTATCTTCAGCATCCATTCTTTAGGCTCCTCGATTCGGTTATACGGTTTCTTTCTTCTCCATACTCATTGCTGTTGTTCGTCTTTGTATGTATTTCGAATGCACCTTTTTATCAGGTGAGGATTTGCGATGTTTTGGTAGACGTAATGGATTTATCTAGCTCTTTTTAGTCTACGGTTCTGATGTAAGTGTCACGCTCTGACATTTATTTAGCGCTCCTTTACAATGTTGAAATATGATCAGAAAATCTTGGCTTGCGCATTTACCTTAACCTTGATTAACCTTTAGACTGTTGAATAGGATGCAATTTCATGGATTTGAAATGAACTGAAGCGACGTCTTGGCGGAGAAATTCTACAACTATTGTCGCAAATAAACCCTTGCTTTCTACTCATCCATTATTTTGTTAACGAAAAAGCATCATAAGAACCTTTACACTCGGGGAATTTTCCGTTGTTCACTTAGAAGTAGATCCAAACCTGCCACTATGACAGGCTTATGATATTCCGACTAATTAATAAAACGAAATTGATTGATTCAACGCCTCGACAACTCTCATTAAACATTTCATGAGGGTTGGATAGATGTATCCTTACCGCATTTCGTAGGTATCCTTCCATGGCTACGCTCAATGCATCCTTGTTAGACTCTGCAAATAATAGGCCGAGGCAATGTAATCGCCTCTTGTACGGTCTTGCATATCTAATCCAGTGCAGTGGTTTCTGCATGTGCGCATACTTCAGACTATGGGTATGCACTTGAAGGCCCTTGCTCTTATCCCAGTTAATCACCCACTGTTGGCAACACTAAAATCGAAATATAGCTACGGTGTCAGTAATAGGCTGACCAAGATCATGTCAATGTTGGAAAAGAGTACTGATTGCAGAAACAAGGAATGAACACTTTAATCATGGATATTTATACATGCGATTATTATTATTATGGCCCATTTGTAGGATAGACAACCAGTTCTGGCGAAACTGCAGGAGCCGCTAGGACTCATGAAGACGTGTTTCATGAATGGACGAGGACAAAGTCAAAATGCTGTGGGGCACGCAAGAGTTTAGGACAATCACCGATGTAGTAGTAGTTTAAACACAGTGCTTCAGAGTTATGGCAAGATGCCCTCAGATGATTGCTAAAAACTGAGTCTGATTAACCAAATAAAGCCATTGTTCGGGAAAGGGGAGCAGCTGCATTGATCCCACGGTTTTATTCAAAGTATTTACGAAGGATTTAGACGCATCAAAAGCAACAAACAGAGGGCGAATGGCCTTCAGTTTCGACCGATTCAAATCATTCGCAAAAGGTATTCAGCTTTTAAAGTAATTAAAAGGAGCGGAACGGCGAACCAAGCATGCAAAATAAAGATTTATTTCAACAAAAGAGAAAGAAACTAAAGATTTTGGAATAAGCTACAACATTGATCCGATTCTCATGGACAGGTTTTATCCATTTCACCGACAGGATTTGGAGGATCGGTGCAACACTTTCTGAAATATCTTCGAAACGAAGCCGAAACAAATGATATTGAACTCCTGTCTTTGGTCAAATTCGGTAATGACCAGGCAAGTCCATGCACTATGAGTTCTCCCATCTCTTGATAAGCCTTAAAGAAATCAGAGTCTGACAACTTTCTGCAGCGGTACTCTTCCTCATCAAGTAGAGTTTGAGCCAATTTCAAAAAGATTCCCCAAACAGGAAAGTCAGGAAGGGGTGTTTTTGCCAGCGATATCTGCAGATCAAAAGCCTTAAAATTAAGTGTCTTCAGTGCTTCTATGGCGCATATGTCGTGCTCCTTGATCGTATCGAGTACAGTTGGTTTTGATTCGTTAAGCTTATTAAAGCCGTATATGCTTCCTATGCAAACAAATAAAGGAAAGGCTTCACCTTACCCCAGTGGGTAAGGCTAAGTGAAAAAATAAATAAATTGGTTTTGTCTTTGAAGTAGGGCATCAGTTTCATGGCAAACCAACTAATATTCTTAAATTCGATGAGCCCAACGTAAATCGGAATGATCGTGAAATTGCCTTTATAACTAAAAAACGACATAAACATAAAGTAATCGTACTTTTCCATAATTTTCGTTATAAAAGGCAGCTGAATTTCGACGCCGAGGTTTTTTTCGTCTTCCAAACTGGAAATATATTCACAGCTTCCTGTCTTCCATATTTCATGGCTAACTGAAATTTGTAAAAGAAAACGTCAGAAAAACACAAAAGTGTCGAAAGAAAGAGACGTATAGCGCTTAGATAAAATGGCTGTAGCTGAGGGCAAAATGTATACATTTGGGAAACGAAATGAATGACGAAAATAAGTATAGTTAAAAAAATCAAAATATAAAATGGCTGGTAAACATTGCAAAAAGTGCCGAACAGTAAGCGCAACACGTGAAATTTCGCTAATTATCCTTATCTTATTCAAACTTATTACTCGTCTCGATTTAACAAGGGACACGAGATAAAACCGAATACATGATTTGTCGCGCACAATGACTTACCATCCTTGTCAACCGGAATATTGTAGCTTGAAGTCAGCAGGCAATCACACGATGATAGCATAAATTTGTTTTCGATTAGTCGTTCATGAGGTGTAATAACAAAAATTCGCTTTCTGAAATGTGAATTCATATAAATGAAAAGCAAACATATTTATTGGGCAGATTTGGGCATACGCTTCAGCCATAATACCAGCAGTATATCGCAGCGCATTATTTCTAAACGTAATCACGAATAAGTTTTCGGTACGGGACTATAATTGCTTTTATTTCGTCAGACTGGGTATTGAGTGCCAGCCGCAACAGACCTGATACTTCCGAGTACAGGCTTTGGGCTTAAAAAGCATGACTTAATGAATTCTAAAAGTACGGTTATCCTTGTACATATGGGCATCGTGAGTTAGAGCTCTTTCGCGATGACATGTTAAGGCCACCCCCCTCATGCAATCACTGACCATAGCTACCACAAAATAATTTCTGCATATGCAACTGATTGGTGATGCGTTTAAACCAATTCTTAAAGGTCAAAATATGGGCTCAATATATCACAAAAAGAAGACGGTTAAGACAGTCGCTTGTATCGATTGCAATTATATTTCCATTCTAAATAGATAAACTTGTCTCCTTAAATTTTTGTACTAGGGATGGTAAATAATATAAGTGGATTTGAGGTTCCCTGCGCCCATAACCCTTCCCATCAGCAGAGGAGCGCATGTGCATCAACGGTGCTTTTAGAAACCAGTGATACTCTCCAATTTATAATCACGTTTTAGCTCCAAAACAGATCGTAGGCATGCCCATCGCACTTTTTCTTGTATTATCCAAATACTTCAAACTGAATGGTAGAAGGTACAAGGGTCAAAATGACACTTGCACATAGACGGTAAGGACAGGACTAATGCTTAAGTACGATCCAAATGCCAGCCAACCTGGCATAAGCAATATGATCTCCACTCATTTGCTCTCGAATAAAGATGTTACACAGCCTCTCTACGCCCAAGTTTGGAGGTCTTCATCCATGCCCAGTACTGTATGCTACATGACCAGTCCCTTAAAGCAATCAATTTTGCTTACCACTGTGCACTGGGGAGACTAAATTTCTGACCCTCCGCTGTTATTCTACGCGAATAACTCGAGAACATCCAACTTACGCCCCATTTTTCCGAGCCTTATTCTAACACACCGCCCCGGGACTTACTAAGTTGGCTCGAGTGCACGCATTCTAGGAGAAGGGACCGAGCTGTACGTTGGTCCGGATACCTATCCGCGCGCACGAGAACAGGACGAACACTCGCCACTCACTGTACAGTTGTTCACATACCACGCTTCGCCAATGATCCCCTCCGCATATTTCCCTTGTTAGCCGCTATTATGCTTTAGCTTACCAACTTCTCCACATAAATTTGCAAGCTGCTTAAGTTTTATGTGCAGGTTGGCAGAGCAGCCACCCCAACGATATTAAACCCATAAAGCGCAAACCGACCTATTAATTGCAGCTCTGTGAGAGATTATTCGCTACAAACTCACACCATACCGTAAGGCAGAGCGGTAAGCTGCCATTGTGTTGAGGTCAAACACTAAGTTAGTGTCAAACGGCTAGATATGGTTCAGATTCACCCACTTACGATCTAAGATGATTTCATTCATTTGAATGCGCCTGTAGATAGAAACCACCACACTTTTAGCAACACGAACTAAGTAGTTGATGGAAACGTGCATTGCAGACTGAAAGACACAAGCGAAAGACGTTGTCGGCGAATTCTTAAATTGGAACATTTCGTCTAGCCATGAGAACCGCCGTGGGGCACAAACCTAAAATTGAAAATGAGTACGCCGTACTAAGAGACAAGTGAGCCAGGAATATACCGTTTGGAACAACATTGATCTCAATTAAGACGTTCACAAACATCATTACCAGAAATTGAATTGAGGGCTAGATGAACTCTGACATACGATGCTTGGTAAGCTGTAAAATTCAGATCAAGTATTAAGGCGAGATATAAAAAAGAACCTGAAAA